TGTAATTTAAATTTAATTCAACATGTACATAAGGTTACCTGTATATCATTTTAGGTATATGTACAGAAATGAAACAGTGGAATGAAGGAGTTCTACTTAAAAACCTTACATACAGATATGCATGCTCTTGTTTACGAGCACATCTGCACAGTGGGGGCATCCATGTCCTTTGGACAGTTCTAGTTTTATTAACAGTTATAGTGATTTGGTAAACAACTCTCTTTACATTTTTGCTATCTTAATCAGAACATTAATTAAGATGTCATTACTTCAGGGTATAAGCAATTAACATGTTCTAAATCTATACCTACTACAACATAATGATTGAAAGGCCTGTGTGAAATGTGTCTTTAATGAATTGTAGAACATCTTCTTGATATCAGTAAATAGTTTAATACAAAATAGCTAATAAGAGTAAAGTAATGGATATCATTCTAATTCAAATAGTGAGAAATTTATTTGTATTGCATGTAAATGACTTTTGAAATTAGTATATTTAGGCACATGCATAATTAACTTAAAAGTGAATTTAGAAAGACCTGGGTATCAGTTAGCTGTTGAATTAATAAAAATTTGGGTATTATACATGAATAGTGGACTTAGAAAGATATAAGTATCCGTGAATTATTGAATAAATACAAATCTGGTGATCAGTTAATTGCTGAATTAATACAAATCTGGATACCAATTAATTGTTCAATTGATAACAAGTAAGGATATCAACTAATTGTTCATTTAATAAAGATCTGGATATCAATTACATTTGTAATTATTGAATAAAAACAAATATGGCTATCAGTTAATAATTGTTGAAACTATACAGATCTATTTATCAGTAAATTGTTGAATCTAGATAGATCTGTTTATCAGTTAATTGTTCAATTTACAAATGTATACAGACCTGGATATCAGTTGTGGAATTAATAAAGATTTGGGCATACATGGATTGTTCAATTTATTCAGATATGGTTATCAGTTAATTGTTGAATATAGATATGGATATCAGCTGTGGAATTTATAATGATCTGAATATAAGTAAATTTTGAGCAAATAAAACAATGATAATCAGTCATAATACTCTTCATCTGAGCAAGAATCACCAACTTCTTCATACCCATCTGCTTTATTTGTTAATCTTGATAACAAATGATTAAAATTATTGGCTACTTCAACTTCATCAGTATCGTCAATATCACCATTATTATGACCATAGTTATCACTACAATAATTATCATTGTTATCACAATCATCATTATTGTCTTCACATTTATCATGGAAACCATCATTGTACATTTTAGTTTTAACTTTGTCATTATCAATTAATCTACATCCTTTCCTTCACCTGTGACAAAATCACCTGCACCATTTGATTCCTTTTTGACAGTTTCTACAGATTTACTTGTTTCAACAACAGCATTATCAGTATTTTTGTCATCATCTAAACCACCAAGCTGTATGTTCATTTTCTGCTTCTTCTTTACTTCTTTTGGTGTTAATATATATTGATCAGTATCATCATCAGAACCAAGATCAAAATTTACAATATCAGAACTGTCATCATTAATTAGCTTATCTCTAGATTTACCAACTTTCTTCTTCTTTCACAGGTGTATCAATGTCGTTCTCTGAAGTTTCTTCGTATTTCTGCGTAATAAGCACAGGGTACAGCATATAAGAATCTTACACCGGCTGCCGGTACAGACCGGAATATCTAGCTCGAGGGTAACTGTTTACGGCGGTAACGAGGCTCTGCCGAGTTTCCGCTAAACAGTTACCCGAGAGCTAGATATTCCGGTCTGTACCAACAGCCGGTGTTTGATTCTTTTTCTTGCATATTACATGTCAATTATTTTCGGAAAAGAAATTATGAAAACTGATACTCTCATTACGCACTTTTTTCTTATAGTAGCGTCATCCTAAGAACGCGATTCATTCATAAAAGGCTCGCGTCAATGACGTCATTTAAAACACGCGACTTGTCTTACATGGGGGGTGTAAGACTATAAGAATCTTACACCGGTTGCCGGTACAGACCTGAATATCTAGCTCGAGGGTAACTGTTTACGGCGGTAACGAGGCTCTGCCGAGTTTCCGCTGAACAGTTATCCGAGAGCTAGATATTCCGGTCTGTACCGACAGCCGGTGTTTGATTCTTTTTCTTGCATATTTAATATCAATTATTTTCGGAACAGAAATTACGAAAACTGATATTCTCATTACGCACTTTTTTCTTATAGTAGCGTATGAACATACAATCTTCATTCATCAAACTCCTCACAGTGATTACCTCCTTGGCAGAATTGTAATCACTGCCTTCAAAGACGTCACATGATGATGAAAGTCACATGACGTAACGTCGAAATTCAAATAAAAATATCGACCGTTACACAGAAAATCTAACGTTATTTTTCTCTTTCTGTTTTATTTTTAACTTTTAGTGCCTACGTTCGATATAGTTTATCAAAAAATTATCGAAGTATACAAATAACGAAAAAAATAAATTCAAAAGCTAAAAAAAATATAAAATATCAAAATATCGTCTCGGTAGAAAATAATCTCATATTTTTTTTAAAATTATTTCTAAATATTCATATTATTTAGTTTATTTATTCACAAACAAATGAGAGAAAACTTATCTGCTAGATAAAAGAAGTAGATAAAACAATTTTTGAAAAAATATGGTATATCAGAAATTCTGATATATTGGGACCTTGGTGGCAGAGATCTACGCCAAAGAATTAAGGGGAGATCACTGTGTGGAGATTGTTCATTCATAACGGAAAAATGACGTCATACTAAGAACGCGATTCATTCATAAAAGGCGCGCGTCAATGACGTCATTTAAAGCACGCGACTTGTCTTACATGGGGGTGTAAGACAGAGTTTTCTAGCACCGGTGTAAACGGTAGATAATCCTGTCTGAGATGCAAGAAAGAGTTTTCTAGCACCGGTGTAAACGGTAGATAATCCTGTCTGACATACAAGAATACGATGTACAGCATCGTCCGCTGTGACCATGATCTACGCTGCATTATCTGCATAATTTGATTACCCATTTTCACAATATCTTTGTCAAAATCTGATTTAGATTTTTCTATATTTAAAAAGAAGCTCAGCTCTCGGATATTGATAAAAATGTGAGCCATTCTTGCTGAAGAGTACAAACATGCTAGGCACATTGCCTTCTTTGTGTTTGATAAAGTGTTATATAGTTAATCAAAAACTTTCTCATACAAATGGCATGCCTCGTCTATTATATGTTCACCAACTTTAAGTTGATTACCAATGTTGGTTATTATTTTTTTACCAGCTAGTTTGTTTGTTTCAGAAGCAGTAAATCCAAGTTTCATCCAATTCTAGGACCGTAACCTTTAACGTCTCTAAAATGAAAACAATCAATTTTTAATGCTTATTTAGTTGGCAATATTGATCATAAAAAATATCATTTTAAAAATTAAGATATAGAATATATCTTATTATCTGTGAATATTTGTTATTTTAATCTCAGTCTGCCTCGTCTTGAGTCACTGTCAACCCTGTCCCAATTGAGCATGATCCCCCTGTCTCTATCTAACGTCAGCCATGGTATGGCTCGCCCTGTCTCACAGCCCGCCCCATCCTACAACCCCTGTATGGGCCTTCAAGTGCTACCCGGATGACAATGACCCAAACAGCAAAACAATGAGCTACGAGGAGAACAGTATATATCATCAATTTTAAATTAATGCTACTTAAAAATAGATATCTGAACATTTAAAATAATTGTCACATGTGTTAGATATAATCAATATTAAATAAATTTGTTTTTGTTAAGAAATTGTTATTATTCATATATATTCCTTTATCAATTCATATAAAAAGTAACCCATCAAAATATGCCTATGAGAATAAATTATATACAGACATAAACCGTAACATTCTACTAATCATCATACCTCTTCTCTATTATTACGTGAGTAAGCAGAACAACAGATAAGGTGCATATTTGCACATTTACGCAATTAATTACGCAAAAAGATATGTCAAACTACACATATATATGCCCTCTTTTCTAGCCATTGACTCAAATTATTGGTAATTTTGTTATAGAAACTTGCCATAAATTGGTACATGGAAGTGTTCAGTTATGGAAATAAGAAAAATAATTACCTACTAGTTATAACCAATCAATATGTGAAATATAAAGAGCTTAACCTTTGAACTAGTGCACCAATTATGACTAATAAATATGTGAAAATATGTGATAAAAAAGTTTTCAGGGCAATAAGCGGAAAACATATTTACATTTAAGGCTTCTGTGACCTTGATCTTTGACATAGTGATCCCAATATCAATAGGGGACGGCCAAAAGGCGCGTTATCGGACTTTCGTCTTGTCGCTAACAATGTACGCCAAAACGGCGCGTTGTCGTGTTTCGTGTTGTCGCGATGTCACATTGTCGCTCGGTTCAAATAGAAGGATTGGCTTATAAGCCAAGCGACACCGCGACGCACGACAACGCGACGTTTAGCGTGCTTCGCTAGAGACAAGACGACAAGGCGACACCACGAAAAGGCGATGACGATATAGGTATCGACAACGCAACGCGCGATGTATTAAATCAGCCACCATATTTAAGTACAAATACTTTTTTGTTATTTCTGTATGTATTGTAAAAAGGGGAGAAACTCTTGCATTTTGTGTAAGCTTTGTAAATTGCTATTATTTCCCTTTAACTATTCGGAATATTTCATATTATCTTATTAAGAATAACTCTAGATTATCCCTACATTGTACGTTGTTAAATGGTGGGGATAATTTGTGGTGTGTTTAACATTGAAATTATCAATATGTGTTTGAATCTGTCTTCCCCATTACTCTTAAATTAGATGTAATTTAAAATAAATTATTGTACATCAATTACATTATAAACGACACTTTTAAGACATGTTTAAATTTAAAACATACATGTACATATATAAAGATTACGACACTTTTAAATTTCTCTAGTTGAATACATTAGATAGTGTTTCATACGGGGTAATTTTTTGGATTAACGCACAGGTACGAATATAAAGTTTAATAAAATATATCACGTATATGGTTGAATATTGACTTTGATTGATATAACTGTTTAAATGCTGAATGAAATGACTATCTTGTTTTAGGCTTACGTTATTAGAGTATGGTATTTAACTTGTTCTTGCCTCCAGATTTAAGATAACTCATTTTCATGGAAAAAAATGGAGAAAGAAACATGTCAGGAAAATAATATGACCATTCGATCAATAGCTCGTATATAATGTTTTAAACCGGAAGTGATTAGCCCTTTTCTACGGTATAGAGCCAGACCAGCCATACAGTCTGAAAACATGGAAACATCCATTACACAAATTTAGCAGTTTAATGGTTAAAAAATAGCGTCCCAGGCGCTCGGTTATATCTATATAAATTTAAGATAGGAGATTTGTCCTACATATTTGATAAGTGCTGTTCATACAATATATTTTTTTTCATGTCTTTATATGAGAGATGCATTTAAGTGAAAAATGAAAAAAAAAGCAACAACAAACAGCTGCTTCTATAAAAGATTTAACATTAAAAGAATCAGCGTGAATGTGCTGTAGATGAAATGTCAAAATGCAAATTATATATACATTTTTAAATGAAAATAGTTTCTGATCGATAAGTTATAATGTCCCGTTCACGAGGAAATTATTCTTTTCACTATAGTAACATTGCATAGTGTCATTGTATCATCGACTTTTCATTATCGTAACATCATGTATTTTGTTCTGTATTTTGTTACTTTCTGGATCTTTACAGACAGAAAAGATGTCACTTTTACATTTTCTTTCCTGATTTTTTTCCGCATTTCCGTTTTGAACAACACTTTTGGTCGTTCTCCTAGGATTGCATTTTTATTTGTTTGGGTCGTCAGACCAAACAAATAATGGTAGCGAAATTTCAGAGCCTAATGCTGTTAATGTAGTCCACTTTTTTGAAGCGGTTACTTCCCTTTAATTGTACACTAACGCCAAAAATTTCAGGGGAGATCAATGCGTAAAGATTGTGAAACCACATGACAGGCGCATTAATTTTCAAGCAAAGTAGTTCCCGAATGGTCGAAGATTTCTAATATTGTTTCATTCTTTATAGATAAACATGCTTACAGTAAGCTCCGTGATTATTTACATCTGTGAATAAGAGTTACAAACCTAATTTAGAATAACTATGGTTTTCTAACAATAACTTCACCGTGGCCGAGGGGTTTGCACGCTTGCTTCTGAATCGGGACGTCTCGAGTTCAAATCCCAGTTGAGGCAACTCATTTTTTTTCCTTTTTTTAAGTCAAATAAACATTGAATTTACTATCAGTGTTGAAAATAGTCTTATAGCCAATTTACCACAGTTAAAACACTGGAAAGCATTGGTGGCACTATACAAAAACAAATTAGTTTATAATCTCACAACACATTCTGAGACCCAAACAAATTCAGCGCCTTCTGTGCTTTGATTTTTCTATTTTAACAAATAAGTAAATAACATGTGAATTATATTCAGTCATTTGAATTATTAAGTGATAAAGAGGATAATGATAATTGATTCGTAATTTTTTACGTATAACTTCTAATCGTCATGTCTCATATTTTGTAAAACCATTATTTTAACATAAAAATCATGTTTGATCAAGTAAAAAAATATTTGTTTCTGAGGAATAATGTACCTTTAAGCTTCAGAATCTGAGTAATTGAGTAATGGATAAGTTCTGTTTTGGAACAGTCAGTATTTGAAATTTAAAGGCACACCGTGCCTCAAAACTCCATATTTCTTTCTTAATTCTTTAGAAATATCAAACATGTGTTAAATAATGTTTTAATAATGAATTTAAACATGTTAAATGTTAAACAACTGTAGAAAGTTGCGCTGAGTGTGCAGTATTGTGTCGTATAGCAAAATGTAAACAAAGTAGTATTTTGACTATCATTCACAATGACGTTCACTATGATGATATCAATTGCTAACATAGTTTAAAGATGTAAAAGACAGTTCATCTATGTGGCAAATGAGTATATCATTTTTTTGAAACTGTAAAAGTAAAAAAAAAAAAAAAAAAATGGACACATTTTGGGAATTAAAAAAATGATAGCATTTTAGGCAAGATGGGACTTTAAAGGAATTGTAATATGAGGTAATAAAAAGGACTATAAGTAGTTCAACTATCAGCAATTTAAAGTGTGATTTTCCGCTGTATGATTTTCTGATGATAACATATTATACAATTTAATGCTGATTTTGGCTTTTTTAGTATATAAGACTTTTTTTGAATTTGATTGTGTTGGAAGCTATAAATCTGATTGAAACACTCTCGGAACCGTTCCTAGGACCAACCAGTACTAAGCGATGTGTGTAACGTTACTTGCACGCGGAAACAATGGTTTGCCGCTGACGGGGGTTGAACCCATGCGGACAGCAATTTTTGGATTACAAGTCCTCATGTATCAGTCACTTAATTGGGTGTGCGACCAGGCCGCAACTGTAGCTCTTGACAAGGGTAATAATTGAAAATCGTACAGGGCTAACATCTATCAAATGCTAGTAAAACAAATGATTATTTACACACCATTCCATATTGTGAACACACAATTTAACAGATCATAGACAATGTGCAATTTCTAATCGATTGCTATTAACAATCAATAATCAAATTAGTGTAGGAGAAAAAACATTCTGATTATTTCAGATTTGCCGTGTTTCATGATGGAAGACGTGCACGAGGTGATAACAGCAGAAACTACAATGAACGTGAATATTGTACAACTTAATGCGACAGAGTTATTAAAATACTTGCCAGTTACTATAATTCTCGTGATTATAATGTGTATAGGAATTGCTGGAAATATATTAGTTATATACATTTACAAAAGTAAATTCAAGAGATCCAGCGCAAGAGTTTATATTCTAAGTTTGGCGTTTGCAGATCTCACGGTGTGCATATTTGGCATACCATATCACGTGTTGGATTTAACACAGATTCTGACCTATCCGGATAAATATCTTTGTAAAGTATTTAGTTATTTTATTGGTGCGTGTACATTTAGTTCAATTTTCATTCTTCTGGTAGTTGGCTTGGATAGGTACCTCAAAGTATGTCGACCATTAAAGAGACAGATTGTGGATTTTGGGGACAGAAAAGCGTGCATTATTGCAGTTTTTGTAGCCATAGTAATATCTGTTCCAAACGGAATAATCTACGGACATAGTTCAGTTAACACTGGCGTGAATAATCATACAGGGATAGAATGTTTTCTTGATGATGACTACCAATATTCGAGTCTTGTTTTCGGATACCTTGTCTTTAACATGATTGTTTTTCTTTTTTCTGTTGTAATTTTGATAATAATATACACATTAATTTGCCGTAAAATTTATAAAAACGACTCGAATGGGGAAATAATCTTGCAAAATAGGCGAAAAGTGTGTTTATGTTGCTATGGTGATTCATCTACCGGTGACGAGGACATAGAAATGGAAGAGACGAAACAAATAGACCTTGAAAGTAAAAATGTGTCTAGTGAAGAGGAGAAAGGAATACAACTTCCTTCAGATAAAAAATCCTTATCTACAAAGGAAAACATTGCAAGAAGGGAAACCTTGATTAGACATGCCGGAAGAAATAAACGGAAAGACAAGGAAAGTAATACAAGAAAGATAACTCTGATGATGATGACGATAACTTTTGTGTTTATCATCTCTTACCTCCCTTTTATGATTATTTCTGTAAGGGATAATTTAGACGAAACATTTTGGGACACGTTGACGGAATCTAAAGCTATCATATTTGATTTATTGTTGCGTATATATCTAATAAACAATGCAGTCAACCCTATCATATACAGTTTCTGGGATTTCCGATTTAGGAAAGAAACTGCAATACTTCTTAGTAAAATATTTTGTTGTGGGAAACAAGCTATTAAAAACGAAAGTAGATGTAAAAATAAGTATTCATCCTATAGTCGTTCTACGAAAATAACAGAATACAATTTATAAGCCGGGAATTGTTATATGTAAAAAAATGCTGAAGTATGTGATTAAAGTTTTTAAACATGTCGGGACAGGAAATGTCTTTTCGGAATTAAAGTTCCATTCGATGTAGGTCTATACTTCAACGCTTTTCACTCAAATCGGTCTAAGACTAGCACAAATATACGATTTTCAATTTATTTCGGATTACAGTTCTTCATTATCTTTTGCATATCTTTCTTTTTTTAAGCGCCCCCAGTTGATCTTAGTATGAAATTAAAATTTTATGTTTTAGGCATTTAGACCTCAGTGGAGTTCCTTTAACCCTTACCCTGCTAAATTGCTAAAGTGGACTTGTCCATCCTTCTTATTGGACACAACCATTTATCATGTTTAGGGAAGGTTTTGTAATATGCTTAGACTAAACGCAACCATTCTAAGATATAACGTAAGCGGCACTTCTTTTTTAACCCGTAAAACTGAACTTTTCACTTAATACAAATTTACTTTATGTGTTATCAAAATGAACTTTTGTATGAAATCGTTCTTTTCTGTGTATAGTTATTTTGTATATGCAGCCAATTTAACGTTGTTTTCTCATCCTCCAAATGAAGACTTATCTTTTGTAACATGTTATTTAGTGAAAAGCATTGAAATAAAACATATTCATATTTTACATGAACAAGGATTCTGTTATAATGTGAGCAGTTGTGATTGAAAATGTTTTATTTGCAACAATAATGACATGGAAGATGAATACCACTTTGTGTTGGTTTACTGTTTGTATGTTTTTTTTAGGAAACAGTATATATACAACTATTTGCAAGAAACCCTAGCATGTTTACATTTTTAGAATTGCTGAATTCAGAAAGGAGTTTAGTGTAACCAAAATTAGCTTCAGTATATATTTAAATTAAGATTTGATTCATTGAATGCAAGGTGATATATAAGACCACCATGTTGTAATATTTAAAATTTTATAAGGATTGTTTACATTACATGTCTTGAATAACACTCTCACAATTATATTTATTGATATGCGTTTCTAAGAATACGGAATTTATTTTCACCGAGTGATATGAAAATGAACATTTCAAGTGTGGCAGTGAAAAATTTAATTCAGTATTTATAGAAAAACTTCAAATATCTGTGTTTTTACATACTTTTTATTTACATGACCTTATTGTTAGAAAATTGCGCCTAATTGCTGAATGTATCGGCTGAAATTTAGGAAGAGAAAGTAAGTCCGTAAAGATACCAGTGAAAGATCGGGAAATGATTTGCGATTGCGAGGCGAAAAAATATTTTTTACAATAGAAAATACCGAAGACATGAGAATATTGCATGTGTATTTGTGTGCAGGTGAGTTTCTCAAGTAGATTTTCGTTAATGTATTCGTAAAGTGTGTAGTGTATAAAGACTGTGGTCGAGAATCTGGCCAAAATCCGCGTAATATGCGAAGGTTTGTGGGGTGGATGGGGCGGTGTGGGGGAGTAGGGATTGGCACCAGCAAAGATTTTAAAATTATAACCTCTCATTCTCGACTATCACGATCCATAAAACTGTACCTGTAATGTTTGCAATTGTTTTTATAATGTTAGGAGACCACTTTATTAAGTTCTCGTATTACTATTTTATGTTTTAATTAATATCCTCTAATAAAAGCCACTGATTGTAAATGCAATTGATTCGAGTTTGTACTACATTAATTGATTACCAAAACTTATCATTATGCTGGAAAATTACTGAATGCGTTTAATGTAAAAGACCTTTTTAATCATCATTTTGTGTTTAATACTCAATACCATTACTTCCTCTTGAGACTGAAATCAATCATTTATTGTGCAACATGTAATGTTATGATGGTGTAACGTTTAATTGCATACCATCACCGATTACTGTAAGAATAATGTTTGATAACGACGTCAGTTTAACTATGGTAACCTGACTACAAATGTGCTACTATTGTTACGGGACTACAAAGCCCAAGATCGTAAGAACGATCCTGCTCCTTTACTACTACAATTTATATCAGCTCCGGAAAAATTGACAATGAAATCCGCAATTCTATTTCCTGCTTACTTTAACTTTGACCATGTTGTATGGTTGTTTCCTAATTAAAAGTAATCAATTTCGAGCTTTCTTTGAATTTCTAGCCAGCCATGAGATCGATATTCAAAATTCAATTAAACATTAGACAGGAATCTAGGTGTCAATCGACATTATGTCATTCTCGACTTCTAGTACATTTCACGGGTCTAAAGTACTGGTTTGAAAGGGTTTCTGTGACTCTTTCTAACTTGATATTATATTTTCAGAAATGTCTGTAAAAAATTGCCATGTTTTTAAATCCTTTTGCATATCCGGTAAGTTTTGCAAAAAAGAGTATATAATTGCGTCTTACGTGTTGTCACGGTTATCCTCTCACTTCAGAGCATATTTTACCAAGTGATACATTGTTACCACGTGCCACAATTTTACACAAGAACCAATGCGCCACACTGTGTACCTATTTCCATGTCCACAGATTGTAGCGCAAAGGAAGGTCGTCAGCGAGGTTGCCGGTATGTGTACCCAGTTAGTACAATCTTATACACAAAATCAAGGGCGTCACACTGGTGTACCTATTTACCACGTGCTACATTTAGTACGATTTATTATACTTAATCCTTGAAACGTATAACAAATTTATTATTATAGCTTTAAGCGACACTTTTAGCCTAGCATGTGTTGTTCATTTCTAGCAAAGGTTTCACAAGCAAAACAATAGAGACAATATACTAATAAAATCAATACATACAAGAGGCCCACCATGATAAAAAAACTTGTGAAAACAGAAAATAGAATAGATCATGTCAAGAAAACCACAGTATACCTTTTTTATATATATAGTTTATTTGAAGTATCAAGCATTCAATTTATAGTACTAAGTGAAATGTTTATTTGCGTTTGCCATCTACCGCCGCCGCCGTTGTGTCCTGTATATGACAGTGACCGTTAGCGCACTCCCTGCAGTGACCATGGTTACAATGATGGCCACCATTGTGACAGTCACCAGCGTCCTGACACATATATGAGCTCCTGTCATAAGTTGTGATTAACGTTAAATTATGCGCGTAAACTTGTTGGAAGCAAAACAATTGAAATAGTGAGAAAGTAGACAGTGGCAATAACGTCGAGACACACAAATTTGAAATCCATGAAATGGTTTAACGCATTTTCCTGTTGTCTACGAATTTTGCAAACGCACATAGATTTTTGACTTTGAATACATGTACATTAAGCGGCTACACAACCCGCAAATTTCCTTTTAATAGCGAAACATATTAAAGTGAAAGGAATGAGGGATGTGTAGGAACTTTTTAGTCATGTCATATACATGTATATATATTGATGATTGGTTATGAGTTACTTCATGTATAATATTCATTGAATGATTTACCGAAGCTGATGTTTTGAATATATACTCATCCATACAAGTCATTACAACATAATACATAATCTTACTACTATTCTGAATAACAATAGACTAACGTAATAAGGGAAGTAACTTTGCAAGAAATTCCAACAATATAACCTGTAGAGTTTCCTCTCTTTTCATTCATATATAATCAGTTCAATAAAAACAAACGCTTTTCACAAGCTTTCTTCGGAAAAAATTGACGCTTATAAAATAACAAATGACAAATGACGCAACGTCCGTTTTTGTTTTTTTCTCTCTCTTTTCATTCCACATTCATATTCATATTACAACTAATATAAGAAAAAAAACTATTGTAATCTTATACTGGCATTTCTGGTAATATTGCTTAAAATTGGACACCCTAGCAATTTTCTCTCACTTTAAACCATCATTAATATTCTTAGACCAGATATTCCTAACGTATAAAATCATTTACTCACATCAACAAATATAAAAAAAGTGGTCACTTAAGCACGTATCCACACAGAACGAATCAAGTCATTATGTATACGCACTTTCCCTTTATGACCCGTTGAGTTTTTGAAATATCAAGTCCAAGTAACCTTGACCTTTTGACCTGACAATGTAAGTGGTAGGTAGAACTCATCAAGGTGTCTTCGAATATGAAGTTTAATTGAGTATTGGAATAAGTAACAAGTCCTATACAAGTCTATATAGTATGGTAGGCCAAACGTATAGAGCTCCCTAGCTATAAAGTACATCATGTAAACCTCCATCTGCATGGCTTGTTTGTATAAAATGGAGCATTATCCTCTCAAATAGTGTTATTAGTGCTATCTTCACTTGAAAACTGCCGTGAACAACTTGTTTACAACTATTGCATGGAAGCACTGTAGACTGTTTGAGTTGATATCCCATTTGAAGTCGTTTTGCGAAGAAATTGGTAGGCTACCCCTATATAACAAGATCATTTTTATGTGTCAACCATTTCATTCCTCTTTAATGCCTCAATTTTTAGGTAAAATTAGGGACTTTTTCTTACACTAAAAGACTATGAAAATCAATACCTTATTCACGAAAAACCCCGCGGGAACCACAACTTCAGAGAGTGAATTTACTCATTAACATCAATTTGATTCGCAAAACCCTAAATCTCTCCAATGACCGCGGACTTAATACGGATATAAGAAACAATATTGGTCCAAAAATAACTTCCGTGTGGAAAACCACTTGTTACAACAGTCAGATTTATAATTATTAACAACAACACACTGAGTTCTATTTGTTAGAAATGCTTTGATCCATGAAAAAAGGGAATCTAGCATTTTAGATTGACAGAGAATATTTTTCTTTTCTTTTTCTATATACGCATAAGGAAACCCCAAAGTGGAACCTAGGGCTATATAATAAGGTACCGATGCACTAGACAATATTCCATGCCAAATATCGTAGCCCTAGCCTTGGTGGTTTCATAGGACAAAATTAACAAATTTTGTTTAACCAGTTAGACTTAGAATATTGTGGGTTTATTTTAACGATTTTTTTTTACACTTTATATACAAAAACAAATCGCCGGTCATAAAAACGACCATGCCATGCGGAGACCTCACGGATGTAATTCTTGGACTAGGGCTTCGAGACTTATTTGTCCAAAATCGAATCCGCAACGAAATCAGACAAATGGTGGTCAAACATTTGTTTTTTGAATGTTAGGGGTTTTACGAAATTTTATACACATTATATACATATAAATTATGAATGATTACACGTGTTTTTGTTTATATCTTAAACCATGTGTTGGAACTACATGTACGTATAATCCGTTTTAAATCCGAGATTTTAATGAATAATAGCCGATATGTTCAAATTAACTATATTGATGATGATAGTTTTGTTAAATACGTCTTTAAAACGGATGATTTTTCATTTGTATAGTATTTTTGCCAGTTGTGTGTAATTTATTTAGAGGTGGGGCTGAGTTAGTCATGTTGTAAACTTAGATTCAAACTAAATTACATAGTTGTATTATTTCATGTTAGTTAGTTTAGTGTATAGACGGTGGCTCTACTAACTACACTTTTGTCTGCAATAATTAACATAATTGGCACCCGTATAAGAATAAAGAAAAAAAAAGACCTTTTGAAAGCAGAATTATATCATAATTTCACGGGAACAAATTGATCAAAACGATCAAAATACAGAAATGTTTGTGTGCATTTAATTGTTTAGTGACTTTACAGAAACAAGCAAAAACATGTCATTTTATGGTATTAGTTTAATGATATATGCTTTGGTGTATCAAAGTTTATTTAATTTCCACCTTGTCCCCCAGGTCTTCTAGTACACTGGCAATGACCATCCACGCAGTGGGCATTATCGTTATTATCTCTGCAGGTAACACTGCTACAATCGGAAAACTGAGTGCATGCTATGCCTGCAACAGAAATATATACTTGAGAATACACAGTTTAAACAACCGTATGATACAGTCACAGAGTAAGAAATCCCTTAGTACCTCTTATTTTCCGGTCCTTCTCGATTTTGGAATTACTTAAGTGGACGCATCGATATCGTTTCCTGAACTTCTATGTTTAGAAACGAACGCCACTGACGCGTTATGAAAATCTCTAAAGACAATGTTTTGAGCTTGACAATGCTATTATACAGTTTTCAAAGATAAAATTACTGAAATGCTTAGTTTGAAGAGAAAAAAAAAGTTTTTTTAACAGAAAATAAAAGCTGAAGACGGCTTTAAGAGAAGCCGATCATGTTGCACAACCCTTAAAGTTTACATATTATTCCAAAAGTATATGCATATTTGATCAATGTTTATATACGTTTGTATTGTGTGCTACGTTTGTATTGTGTGCTACTAATACAGGTATTCTAAAAACTTTTAGTTGATGTATTACCATGAATATACTAACATCCACAAGTAAAGCAAGAAATTCTCCACAAAGAGCGTCGTGACTTGAAACCAAAGTGTAAAAATATATGTTCACATATACATATTTACATGCACTTACCAGTAGGACCACTTGAGCATTCGCATTGGCCGCTATTGCAAACAATATGTGTATGCATGTGACAGTGTGTTAAGTGGTGACGTTCACACTCCTGTGTATTTCCACATGGTTCAGAACACACGTATCCTACAAAATAAATAATAACATAAAAGATGAGCCTAATTTAACAACTGAGCTATTAAAAATTCTACACCTCTTATGGTCATCTATCAATCGCATCTTCTCGGCCATTTCCGTCAAACTTCGGATATCATTGATAATAGCCAAAATGTTCCGATTATGCAATGCGTTAATTGAGCTGATGGCTGATTAATAGCATGTAATTATATATAAAAAAAAACAACAACAAAAAAAACGGCCCTCTTTATGGTTGTGGTTTACGGATGATGAAGTTTTGGAGTAGGGGGTTATTGGGGATGACTGGGTGTATTCATTTTTGCAGGTCAAAATGTGTGCCTCACATTTGTAATGGGTTCTGCATGTTTTAGCCATATTATAATGATAGAAAAATTACCGACACACATTTTATCTTATGTCGAGCATACCTCATAAATCATAAAATTACATGAAGGTATTAATATTATCGTAGGAAGCATTCAATTTTACTTCCCTTTTCTATCAACTTGTCAGTAAAATGTGAGACACACATAGATTTCCTGTAAACTAGTATACACCCGTTCATTCGCACTAACCCGATCTGTTTAAAGGATTTGAAAAATAAATCTCTTTTTGTAGACATTGTGACATTTCATCTACATTTTTGTTCTTCAAAATTTGGAATGAATCTGCATACTGCTTTAACTTATTTACATAAAGTAATGATCACCTTGCCAATAAGTGTAACAACTTAAATATAATTTACATAAAGTAATGATCAACTTACCAATTAGTGTAACAAACAAGATTGCAAGAGTCACTTTCATTTTTGATGTCTTCACTTCAGGAATAGTATTAAGTAAATACATTAACCTGGGACACTCTGTTTTATATCAATGCCCCCGATCAAGTTCACAATATGTTATTTCACATAACGTTAAATTTGTCTAAAAGTGTGACACAATTGTCATGAAGTAATAGCACGGAACCGATAACGTGACGTTTAATTGACCTTGTTGTCCTTATTTTTGGAAACAATGAAATCCTTAAAAATTGGGTTATTCCATTGATTGTTATATACGGCTATCGATACATGTAGCCAGCCTCAAACCAAATATATCTAGGATGTAAAATCTGATCAAAATCTAAAGAGAAACAAAATATGACCCTGTATTGTATTCCACATGTGAAACACGTGCATATATTATTCTTATTTTGTCTTTAGTAGAACCTATGGCGTTCTTTTATTAATTGTGAAGTTCTTTTAGGAATTCTGTCTTTCTTCAACTTATCGTAGCAGAATATTAATTTATAAATATGCCAACAAATGTACGATTCTGCAGATAATTATCTATAGTTGTGATGCCATTGTTGTTGTTGTTTATTGTCTGGGTTGTTGTGCTTTCATCTTTGCATATCAAATAATAATTTTGCAATATTGTATTCAGGGTCAATAAATTGGAAATAAACTGTCATATACGTGCTCCAGTTCAACAAAGCGTTAGCTAAACTAATATATAGCACTATAGATATTAAGTGTAAACTCAGATAAGAAGACATTAGTGATGTTATTGTTTCATTTTCAAAGGATCAGGATTTAATCAGTCGTCTGGGGTCAATATGCAAGCATTATTCGCCGCCGATAAAGGGAGCACAAAGTAGGAGAGTATAATAGCCCTAGTTATATGATACTATTTTTAACGGGAAGTTCATATCTGAAAATAATTAGTCACATGTGTATTACATTATATATATATTTATATATTGTTAGCAAAAAAGATCCTTCCCGCAACAATGGTGTACATGTTTATATATAACAATTATAATATATGTTTAGGTGACAGCAATGCAGGGTAAGTAGCAGTCCTTTCAGGGTCAAATCACAGTGCTACCGGCATAGTGAAAAACATTAACAACTTACCAAAATGGCTAAAAACAATTATATGAAATAGGTTTTCTAGAAAAGATAAAATCAGTAAATCTTCTTGTCAGGAAAATGGCACAAACAAGATTCTTTTCGCAAGTGTTTTTGTCAAAATTCTTTTATTTAGGAAGCTAAGATATTGACAAACGCGCTCTTTTTCAAAAGCGAGGAGTACATCCCCTAAATTTGATTTAACGTTATGAATAGATGAATTTCATAGCATTTATAAAACAACAAAAAGCACCGAACTTACTTGTTCCTTGTTATATAGGACAAAACGCTCTGCTTTAAACATGTTGTTTTTGTTTTACTTTAAAAGTCAAACACGAAATTGTGAAATTATCTTATCTCACATATCACGATTTCTAAAAGGAGTTACCCTACTCGCCTATTTACGATAAAATATACATGACCTTGGTTTCCAGATGGCATGTATATATTGTTGTCCCTATTATAAAAGTCGGCGCTTTATCTCTTTAGACATTTCAACATAAATTTCGACAAAGTGAAAATGAAAGTCGCAGTGTGTTTTCTTGCCTTTGTAATTGGTAAGTACAACTTTTAATACGTTGTCTCTGTGTGTGTATTGTATTTGAGTTTACATTTTCTCTTCACCGGTTGCCCATATGGGCGAGTCCTCCAGAAGAGTATCAGTCATTTTATATTTTGGAGGATAGTGCAAGATACATATAATGAAAGATGCCCCATTTCCAGAAGCTTCCCCTGATTCTTTAGTGTGCCAAATGTTAAGGCACCCATCCACGGGACCTCGATTTAAAGTCTCATCTGACACTTATAAGTAATTTTATTTGGCCAGCCCGGGAATCGAACCCATCATGTCCTGATTACAGGTCTTGCGCTCTAACCGATTGAATTTAACGTTGTCTGTTGAATGTTGTTTAACATAACATGTTTATAAACGTTTAAAAGAGGACATTGTTTGTGTGTGTCGTTGATAATTAATCAAATAAATAAATAAATAAATAATTTTCTTTCAATTATGCTCTTGAATGGTTGAAAAATTATGTAAGTAAACATTTTCAGCCTGTGTTTTATTTTGCCAGCAAACATGGATACACACTTATATATACACTAAATGCGACTAAAAGTTAAGATACAGTCATTTTTCTGCAGCATCTGTTTATTCACGGGCAGCATTCCCTTGTGAATAAATCATTAACGAGCAGGATTTCTATCAATAAGGTCGTGTATATAATGACATACCCGAAGAAATCTTGAAAAAGGTCTTAACAGTTTTTGTTTTCCCTTTTATATTTTGTTTTTGTTTTTATTATTTTTTATTTTTTCAACTCAAGGGCAATTTTCCATTAATGTGCGACATAAGTATTCTGGAACGCTATGATGTTTTATATAGTATCGAGCATAAAAACCATACAACTTTGTAAACAATTATGTCTCATTAAAATAAAGTATAAAACAATTGGAGCATGTCTGATTAAAATAAAGTATAAAACAATTGGAGCTAATTTGACTGGTTTGACACATGAAAACTTATACTACTTCACAGTACATTTTTTCTCATTCGGCACTAAATCTTAAAGTGTGTTTTGAATAGGTTGTGCATATGCCAACTTGTGTTCAGACTCGAACCCATGTGACACAAGTATAACAACTTGCAGTGATGGATTGACATTGACATGTATGGATATAGGATCTACGGATGGCAACCATTGTGTATGTGCTGGTAACGCCGGTAAGATTATTAACTCTTATTGTAGTTTATTGTCTCATCAATATAACAACATAAATCACAGATTCAACAAAACATCCAAGACATACTAGTTTTATTATACTAAAAACTTTTGTTTTACATTGTCACAACTTATCATCCATATGGCATACAGCGGCACGTCTCTAGAACATGAATGTGACATATAGCGACATGTCTCTAGAACATCAATGTGACATATAGCGACATGTCTCTAGAACATCAATGTGACATATAGCGACATGTTTCTAGAACATCAATGTGACATATAGTAGCATGTTTCTAGAACATCAATGTGACATATAGCGTCATGTTTCTAAAATATCAATTTGACATATAGCGACACATTTCTGAACATCAATGTGATTTATAGCGACATGTTTCTAGAATATCAATGTGACATATAGCGGCATGTTTCGAGACTATCAATGTGACATATAGCGGCATGTCTCTAGAACATCAATGTGACATATAGCGACATGTCTCTAGAACATCAATGTGACATATAGTAACATGTCTCTGGAACATAAATGTGACATATAGCGACATGTTTCTAGAACACCAATGTGATTAAGCGACATGTTTCTAGAACATCAATGTGACATATTGCGACATGTCTCTGGAATATCAGTGTGACATATAGTGGCAAGTTTCTAGAACATCAATACGACATATAGCGACATGTCTCTAGAACATCAATGTGATATATAGTGACATGTTTCTAGAACATCAATGTGATATATAGCGACATGTTTCTAGAACATCCAATGTGATTAAGCGACATGTTTCTAGAACATCAATGTGACATATATAGCGACATGTTTCTAGAACATCAATGTGATTAAGCGACATGTTTCTAAAACATCAATGTGATATATAGCGACATGTTTCTAGAACATCAATGTGACATGTAGCGACATGTCTCGAGAACATCAATGTGACATATAGCGGCATGTTTCTAGAACATCAATGTGATTAAGCGACATGTTTCTAGAACATCAATGTGACATATAGCGACATGTTTCTAGAACATCAATGTGACATATAGTGACATATTTCTAGAACATCAATGTGACATATAGCGACATGTTTCTAGAACATCAATGTGATTAAGCGACATGTTTCTAGAACCTCAATGTGATATATATAGCGACATATTTCTAGAACATCAATGTGACATACAGGGACATGTTTCTAGAACATCAATGTGACATATTGTGACATGTTTCTAGAATATCAATTTGACATATAGCAGCATATTTCGAGAACATCAATGTGACATATAGCGGCATGTATCCATCCACTTACTAAATGACGACCATTTTAAACATGGAGTAGACGTTCATTTTTACTTTAAAGATGTAGCCTCTAGTTTAGCCAAAAAAAATAATATTACGAAAATCAACTTTGAGAATAATATACAGAGTGTGTACTAGGATTTTCAGAAAAGTAGAAATATCCACAATTCAAATAATGATTTGCATGTTATATGGAATGAATGACTGATTTTGCAGTATTTTACACCAAAATAAGGTTAAATTTAGCATATTTTGCCGAACAACGCGACGGAGATACTGCACGTGATGTGAAAATCAAAATAAACAAACTAAACCCTGCTAAATATTTTATGTATAATTGTCCATATTTCAGTCTGGACAAAAAACATTTATTATTATAGTAAATTTTTCAAAGTATATACTTGCTGAATAGCGAACAGTGTAGAACATGAGCAGACGGGACAGATATTTCGGATAAGCTTGGTCTGCACTGGTCGCATCGATATATTGATTGTTGTCTAAGAGTAAACATGTCTGCAAAATTTTGCATGAAACGAACTAGGGGAAGAAACAGCACGCATAAGTCAACTCTTTATAAATTAAGGTTTACTTTTTTTCGTATACTTGTATTTCGTATCTCGACCATTTTTTTTGTGAGAGTCCGAGTGGGAGCAATAAGGAAAACAACGTTTTCTTGTTTCCAGGATTATCCCAGGCAGTAAAACTTTAAACATTTTTCTTTAAAATTATATCAAGTATTTAAGTCAATATTTGGTGCGCTACATCATTTTGATTTAACGATTTAAAAAAAAATAAACATGCATAACTACGAGTCGACGGAATGTCGTTTTTTAAAAAAAAACCACCGATTGGGAGCATTTTGCAGGTGCTCGATGACGTAGTTTCCTCCCATTGGTCTCTTATTTTTAGACTTAACATCCTCTCACTATCTCAAAGAAATGTCAGAAATAAAGGCTTGTTGAAAAAGAAACATGTTACTTATATTTCAGGAGGACATATGTGCCAGGACGCTGGTGACTGTCACAATGGTGGTCATCATTGTAACCATGGTCACTGGGGCTGCGTTAACGGTCACTGTCATTGTACGGGACATAACGGCGGCGGCGGCGGCGGGCCAGGTGGCAAATAAACATTTCAGTTACTATAAATAAAATGTTTGACACTTAATAATAAACTTAATATACAGTCATAAATTGTAGTTTTCTTTACATGCTCTTTTTTATTTTAATTTTCGGCAAGTTTTACTCATGCTTGGGCCTTTATATTGATTATATAAGTATTTGGTCTTTTATAGTTTGCTTGTGAAAACTTTGCAAAATTTAAATCTAGAAATGACAGAGGATATTAAAAAAAGTCATTGAGAATATTATAATTTTCAAATGAACAGACTAAGAGACTTATACGTGTATAAGGTGTATGTCTTGTTGTTTCATACTGTTTTGGTAACACTTTTTTGTGTCCCTTGTTGTTTTCTCGACTATGGTAAGTATCTTCCCTTTTGCCCCTAGTTTTATTTCTTTATTTCGACCCCCCCCCCCCTTCCCCCGAATTTCTTGCTTATTCTCCTGTGCCAGTTTACTTAGTGGGCCTTTTAATCATTCATTTATTTGTTTTCTTTGATTTCCTTGTCGGTTACTATTATTTCTTCATATGAACAGAACAGAACAGAAATTTTATTTCGTAACGTATACACTACAGTATCTTGTTACATTACACATATCAAATATTATAAATAGATAAACACATGATATAATTCAAAGATTTACAGTATATTGGAGAATAAACATATATTGCTGCGGAAAAAATTGATTTTGTATAAAATAAATGTATATCAGTATAATCTCATTTTTAATATCAGAATAATCTCATTTTAATATAAACATTACTTGCGAAATCTAAACGTTTACAATATCTATGAAAATAATAACAACATTTTAACATTACATTTATGTATAACCTAAACTTATCAACATATCTTTTCTTTTACTATTTGCAAAATAAATAAATTTACATAAATTTAATAATATAGACTTTTCACATGACTGAAGTAATTCTATGAATTTAAACATGCTAGGTTTTTTTATAATAATATCTATTAAGAATTTAGTGCGTATTTGCTGGTACAAATTACAAACAAGTATAAAATGAAATTCGTCTTCAAAATCTTGTGTATTACAAAGTTGACATATGCGCTCATGTCTTTCAAGTCTGTTTCTACCATATCTACCAGATTCTATTCTTAAATTATGCGCAGATATTCTGAGACGGGTTAATTGTTGTCTTGATTTCATACACTTAATTTTGTCTAAATAGCATTCCATAGAAAAATTATCCTTGATATGTCTATACAATGTATTTAAAACGTTATCATTAACAATATCTCAAAACCATTTTTGTTTAAAAACATCAATGACTCTTTGTTTAAAAATATTAACAAATTCTTTTGGATTATAAAGTTCAGGACAATTCCACACCTCAGAAAAACCAAATTCATCTAAAATTCCTTTTACTTTATATGCCCAGTTTTTTACTCCTTTTTTACACTGATTCAATATAATTATATACACATATTTAACAATGATATTGCTTGAATGTATCACTTTAAACCAATATTTTATTATGTGAACATATCTATTAACATACAGTGGGTATCTTCCTAGCTCACCATAAATTGCTGCATTACAAGAGCTTATTCTCACACCAAGAATTAACTTGCAAAATTTCAAGTGTAATCTCTCTATATCTTTAGATTTTGTAAATCCCCAGACTGGACAAGCATAATTTATGATAGAGCCGACAAAAGCATCAAATAATTGTAAGGAAACAGAAGGGGATATTTTATACTTGTTAATATTACATATTAAAACATTCATTGCTTTCAAAGCTTTACCTATAAGATATTGATTGTGAAGTACAAAGGACCCAGTGTAATTAAATACTACACCTAAATAATTAAAATCGTCAACAATGTCCAAAGCTTCATTATTATAAAACCAACGTTCATGAGGAAGTACTGTTCCTCTATTCCGAAAAACAACTATTTTAGTTTTGGCGGTATTTACCTCTAGGCCCCATAGATTACAGTATTCAAATAAAGAGTTTAATCTTTGCTGTAAATCCTCTTGTGAGTTACCAATTATTACCATATCGTCAGCGAATAACAATATTACTATATTACATAATTATTTGAAATATTCAATCCGCAATCGACGGAGTTTTGTAAAATAATTCTAGGCTTCTAAAAATAGTGCAAACATGGCGGGCGAATTATTTTGGCCTTGTCGTAGCCCAACCGATAAATTGAAAAACTCTGAAAATGTATTGCAATGTTAAACACACGACTTAACAATTGAATACATTGATTTAAAAGTTCTAAGTAACTTCCAATCTTATCCCATATTAAACAATTTATACCATAATGCATTGCGGTTCACAGAGTCAAGCGCCTTTTTTAAGTCGATAAAAGCACAAGGTAATCGCATTTGTTGAGTTAACATCTGGTTAATTAAATTATGTAACACTTAAATTGCATCTACTGTACTACACCCCTTTCTGAAACCAAATTGAGCGTCTGACAAAATGTTATTCTCATCAAACCATTTTTCCACTCAATTTGTCAAGATACTTATAAATATTTTCCCAAAGTTACTTAGTAATGTGATGCCACGATAATTGTTAACATTAGTATGATCACCTTTTTTTATGAAGAGGTATAATAAAGCCTTCAGACCATATTTTTGGAAAATAGCCTGCATTAAAAACACTATTAAAAAGATCAGTGGTATGGCCTACTAATATATCAATAGAAAAAATAAAGTATTCGTTCAACAAGTCATCACTTGGACAAGACGCTTTGTTGCGGTTTAATCGCTTCACCGCATCTCTAACTTCTTCGCAAGATATGGGAATATTAAGCTCTTCAAAAGTAGGGTTACTAATATTAGGATCAATATTATCATTTGAAATATTTGCATCAAAATTAGTTGTAGCCCTTATATCTTCAAACATATTTGCAAAATAATTTTGGAAATCTAAAATAGGTATATCCGAACTTTGTGATACATTTCGTTTTTTGAAATGTTTCCAAAAGTCTCTTGGTTTACTAGTTTTCAATTCAGACAATTCTTGTGCCCTTTTAAGTCTATATTGTCGTTTCTTTTTACGAACAATGTTTTTAAACTTTTTTTTCAAGTCACATAGAATATGCCTGTTAGTTTCGTTTTTATAATTATTTAAAATCGACAAAGCATTTAGATAATTACGTTTTTCCATAGCATTCTTCATCAAACCAAGAACAATCAGAGTTTCCACCCTTTTTTCTACCTTTTCGCTTAAAAAGAGGCTAGGCTACATCTTGAATGATCTTTGAAAACTTTAAAACAATATTTTCAATGTCACTCGAAGAAGAACTCTCAAAAATATCGTTTAAATCAGCCATTCTTCCTAATAAACCCCTTCTAAAATTATCTTTGTCAGCATCACACCATTTAAAATATGTACTCTCACTTTTTAAATTTCTTGGATTAAATTTAGTATCTAAGTATTTAACAGTAAACGAAAGTGGTGCATGATCACTAAATTCATTAAATTGACATATTTCGATATGTATCATTTTAGTAATATACCTGACCGTGCTCCCCCTTGCGCCCTGCCTTTTTTTGTTTAGGACCCTCCTGAGCTCCTTGCCAATAGTTCTTGTTCCCAAGTCGTGTGGGGGTTGCGTTCATTGAACGCCGCCTTTCCTTGTTGATCTTGTTTATCATATTTTATACATGTATACAGGACCGTATCAAACAGATAATGATTATAAATACTAGGTTCGGCAAGCAAGCAATGTAAAGAAAACAGAAAAAAAACTTATCCACCCACCCCCCCAAAAAAAACACCAAAAACGCATGAGACTGTAAAATAGAGAAAATAATAATCCCTAAAGAAAGCCCAAAACGGCAAAATTGAAAATGTTGCAGGCTCGGTTCGATTGAGCCTGTTCATGTAAAACCGAAACAAAAAAAACCCCGAAACCTAAATACACATGAGTGTCAAAGACAGCTCTGGTAATTGCAAGTGCTCCCTTGCGCCGGTTTAAACAGAATTCATCACTTAAACATAATAATGTTGGAATTTTGAATTAACACAAATTTTAGATTGCAGGATGGTGATGGTAAAACTGTGATGGCATTGTGATAGAAATCCGATATATATCGCGTTTTACCACTGTACCATCGCAATTTTGGGATTTCAAATTTGTACCGTCGCATCATCGCTATTTACCAATGTATCATCGCCATCGGCCATTGTACCGTCGCACTATTGTATCAGCGGGTTAGGGTAATCTTTCAAACCGAGACAAAAAAACAACAAAACGTTTAATAATGATCATATGTAATTAATCAGAAACAATTAACATGCATGTATCATTTGATTCTTAAACATTTCATTCAAGCTGAATCTTTAAATGTTAAATTACGGTTGACTATACAGAAAACGCAGGCTTGTTTTACCCAGTTCAATTGCTGCTACGCTGTGTTGTGACGGAAAAAAGAAGGTTCGGCGATTAAAATTATATACAATGATTGAAAGCGCATGTTAGTAGCTAAAACGTGTCTGTCTTTAAGATGGAGCTCCGGCTTATTTTTTATCGTTGCGAGCGCTGCTAGGTGGTGTTATGACGAAAACAAGATGTTACGGCGAGATCATAATTATAGTAAAAAAGATTTTTTTGCTCTAAAAACGTAGCCGCCTGAATATTATGAACAAAAGAAGGGAGCAAAGATTGTCCCTTGAGGAACACCAGATCTGATAAATTCCATCTTGATGATGCACCCGTATCAACGACTCTTTGTTTATGAAGAAGAAAACCATCATGTAAGACAATCTTAAATGCCGAAAAGTCTCAATTTGTATAAGACATCGGAATGCCAGATGTCTACGTCTATTGAATGTATGCCTGTAAGGCACCTTGCATATGAAAGCCCAAAACAGATTTCAGAAACAAAACAAAAAACAATGAGAGTACAGAAAAATACAAAAGAAAAAGAAATATAAAAGAAAACAATAACCGATAAAGTCAAACGCTATTTACTCCCGTTTATCAAGTCAGCAAGTTGTGTTACGAATCTATAACGTTGCAAATAGCTACTTAGACAATTAAAAAAAATCCCGCAACTTAAGACTGTTTTCATCAAAGCGCGAGAAACTGACTCACGTAAATATGAGTCATACGTATTTCAAAGTGATTGAAGATAAAGGACATCATTACCGCTGCGGTATAATTTTTAACTATTTTTGATGTCGAGAAATATGCCATAAAGAACAAAACGCAGCAATAAATTGTATGCAATGATTAAGTGGTTCACCGTCTACCATGTAGAAATACATTGCGTTGTTTTATGCGTGGTTCCGTTATTCAAGGTATATACGGCATCGTATACAAAATGTTTAAGCCAATCAGAATTTGACAGATTTAGTCGCACTTTTATATTAAACGTTCTAAGCCGTGTCGTTAGATTTAGCAGTTCCTGTATTGATACCCTTAGTTGTTACAAATGCACTTTTACCACTGCGATTTGAATGTTTCAGGTCTTCTTCATTCACATCAAAGCAGCATGATAATCTTATAAGAAGCAGCTTTGTTTCTCTCCGGAATTTTTCATCCCAGAAGCTGTATATCACTGGGTTAGTTACATTGTTCACAAGATATAATCTTAACATACAGTCCAGAAATACAGACTCTACAATAGTACGACCGTCCCAGAAGCCTTCGTCTATTGAATCTAAGATTGAAATTATTATGAATGGGAGATAAGAAACAATAAAAACTACTGTGATAGTCAACATCATTAGAGTTATCTTCAGAGCGTTCCTCTCTAACGCCTTTGATCCCGGTCTTACATGGCGTACCATTTCACAACTATTTCTTACAGTTTTTGAAGAATTAGTGTTACGCTTCGACTTAGTCATATTTTGTCTTAAAGATTTTCTATCTGCATTTTCCTTTTTCTTCTTCTTCATCGCAATTCTTTGATGACCAGTATTTGATTTACAACTTTTTCTTTCATCCACTTCAATTGCAGCACCGTTTATACCAGCACAGTCATCTGTGCTCTGTACGCTACAACAAAGTCCAAATTTCTTCTTTTCCTTCAAACTAATCTCTCCTGATTTGCGATCATGATTATAGATTTTTCGGCAAATAAATCCGTATATTATGACAAGAAATATCACCGACAACAAAAAAATTAACAAATTGAACCCTAAATATCCAACAGCTAACCCCGAGCCTTGGTATTCATCAGAAATAAAACATTCCACCCCGGTAAGATTGTTAGCTTGAGTCAGTACAGTACTTTCTCCGTAAATAATACCGTGGGGAATGGATATTACTATAGCAACAAAACTTGCCAGTAGACATGCTTTCCTATCGCCAAAATCTTTGATTTGTCTTTTCAAAGGTCTGCAAACCTTAAAATATCTATCCAGCCCAACTACAAGAAGAATAAATACCGAACTAAGCGTACAAGCTCCGATTAAGAAACTCAATATTCTACACACGTTCGTGTGAGTGTATGTTAAAATAAGTGTCAAGTCCAAAACATGGTATGGTATTGCAACCACGCTTACACTTAAGTCTGCAATAGCTAGACTAAGAATGTAACATCTTGCACTTGACCTTGTAAATTTCCTTTTATAAATTATAAGGACCAGAATATTCCCCACACTTCCAATGAACATTAGGATTACTAAGAATACTGTCAGGGGCAGATAACTCGCTCTCTCTAGCTGATCTAGTTTCTCTAAAGTAAAATTCTTTTCTGACTCCATTTTGTCTTAAATTACATTAGCTGAACATTGTTTCAATCAACAATAATCTATCAACATATTATCTTAAGAACGTGGATATTTTCTTATAATTAAAGTCTTTGTTGAGTTTCTGTCTTCTCAACAATGTCCGTAGTCTGTAGTCTATGTCTGGGAACTATGATGATCTTGCGCAGTTCTATTTAGACTTTAGGAAAATTGTATCAGCAGCGTCTTTTTCCAGTGTAATCCAATCCACTCTCAACGTAACTGTACATGAACGTTTACGTCTCTGGAAAGAGAAAAGAAACAATTTCTTGTCATTGTCAATACATTATCATTGATTGTGTGAGTTCTTCCAAAATAAGGCTAACAGCTGTTTATGTTAAAGGGTCAATTTTTAGATTATGAAATTCTAATTGAAGTCAACAGCATTATTTTTTTTTTGAGAGACAATCTTGACAATGTAAAACGTACCTCGTTTTTAACTTTAGACACGTGACATTTACAACAGCACGCATCCAGATAATTGTTTATGGTTAATATTCTAAAATAATAAAAATGTTTAAAACCCATGGTAATTTTTTTTATTTTTCAAAAGCTTTTTTTGTTGGTGTTATATTTTGCTACCTTTATCATAAACTCTTTCACATTAAGCGACATTATCTTTACGTTTTAAGAATCATGGATGTTTTTTAAATATGATTATTAAAATCAATATAAAAAATATATCACATACACATGCTTTATACGGAAAGAAAAAGATATTTCATAAAAATAGTAAACATTTTTCAAATGTGAACAATGTTACTACATTGTGCTTTTAAGCATGCTCAAACCACAGAAATATTACACTATTTGTAAAGACATACAATAATAAGATTTACTAGACAGTGTGTTGACACATATGCACATTAAACACATATTGTATAAAGCTCACAAAAATGTCTCATGTATCGTAAATTGTGTAATAAAATTTAAATTCTTACGTTTTTATTATAGTGAAAAGAATTCACATGAATGTGTGCCGCTAGTAGCTGATAAAGGATGAAAATGATTTTTTTTCAAGGAAAGAAAGTCAAGAACCTCTCATCAATCTTACTTCCCCACATATTAACAGATGTATAATTGCTCATATTGGTAGCGCAAAAACATCGCATAAACACGCATAAACATAACGATACAGTCAAAAGAAGTTAAACGAGTATAACTAATTTTCTTTCTCTTTGTATAGAGGATAATTATTAAAGTCGAGTTGTAGAAATGCATATTATGCTAGCCCCTTAGTGATTAAATTGAAGTCAAAATACTATACTTTGTTTACATTTGGATGTTTTTCTTATAAATATAAAAAATTCACATTCAGTGCTACTTTCGTCCGATGATAAGCATCTGACATACTTTATAACCATAATTTAATAACTAGAAAACTATGAATTCGTTTCTGATGCATAATGCGCCAATCAGTGCTTCTATGTTGATGTTTGCACCTTTCTCTTGCAACCGAAGACACATATAACAACGTAAATATTATGCCGCCATTTACACATGTACACTTATACTACAAAATAAAACAATATTTATACTTCAAATAAAGTTAAAGTGTAAGTTTCGAAACATTACAAGTCGTTTTTCAAAACAACTATTCAAAGCAGAACTTTGCAAATCGGTTCAAACGTTAAAACAGGCATATCGTACAGTAAATACAGCGGACTAAAAACGTAAAACTTGTAAGAGGTATGTGCAGATAAAATAACTTGTGCTGAAATATTTGTTTGAAGGTTTGCAAAGGTAAGGTTATGCATAAAAAAGTATATGATAATCACTCGTCTGCTTGCAATCAACTTGATGTTTACGATTACATCACGTGTCTACATAAACTTACATGCCATAATTGTCTTGCAGAAGAAAAACCCGGGCACAAATATAAAACGTGATCTTCTAATAATGAAATATGTATTACCTAAGTATAAAAAAGTACATAATGAATATAGATAATATTATGATTTTGGTAATATCTTATGTTTGTTAATGTTTCGCTGGGTATTCAGCACAACATTGTTAATGTCACATGGAAAATTTCAGCTTTACAGATTGAAGAAGACTTCAGGTGCCGCCTCGTGCATTATTCCACGCTCGAGCAGACCCCATTGTTCCGTAAGCTAATTGAATAGCTTCTTCAGAAATAGTTTATTTTTATTATCAGTCCATATATAAATGCAGCAGAAAAAAATTAACACATTTTCATCTTGAATTCATTACTTACTTTTAAACTTATAAATATCAATTTGATATATAAAATCTTAAAGTCATTGTTTTAGTTACAATGAGCTATGTGTTTTTGGCTGCAAACAAGACCATTATACCTTTCAAGATTAAAATTCTATAAGCCTTGTTTTCTTTTGATTGTACATTGTATTCTCCAAATGTGATATAGATAGAGATAATATATAAAAGCTGGCATTATTATATAATCAACACCTGTTAAATCAATCTTTGAAAAGTGCTAAAATGCTTTCAGCTAAACAGTTAATAGTTTAATAAAAGTGCAAGTAAAATATCTATAAAGAATGTTAAGGCGTAATTTTAAAGAGCAGACGTCACATATGAAAGGAAAATGTGTCTATCAAGATTTTCTGATATCGCAATCACCGCCTCGCCTTGGAAGAAACTGCACAAAAAACGCGACATCTTTTATATCTGGCTACAAACTTCAAAATAAGATCGTCAACAAAGACAACCCGGATTAAACAGAATATAGCTGCATCACATCTGATTTCTCGAAATCTAGTGAAGAGGATGAGATATCTGATTTCAGAAATTTCCTTTTGTAATTATGTGTTTAAGCGTGTTGCAAAGATGTTATATTTTCAATCCTTGAAGATCGTTCAGCACGACATTTTTGTTGTGTATACACGTTATGTGGTATTTTTTAGTTTCTTCTATTTGACATTTTTTTACTTGGATGGTTCCAGTATTCCTACTTGAATACTGTATAATCACCCTAAGGATAAGTTGCCTGCTTTTTAAATTGTCTACTGACGTCTCTTCTGTGATATGCAGGCTTCATAATCTCAGATCCCCTTTCAGAATTCCATTTTATTTAGTTCCGCCCATTGCTTTAGGGCACACGCATTCTTTTATTTGGGGACCATACGCTGCTTTTCAGGGAATGGCACTACTGTGTCACATTGAAGGTTCCTTGATAACCGCCGTATGATCTGCGGATGTTTCTAAATTCAAAACTTTACCAATGTCGTGTTTAAATGTTGAAGTCTACTTAAGCCGGTGATAGGGGGTGTGGACGTTGTTTGCACTTGACAGTACTGCCACGAACAGACTCAATCAAACCGTGCCTGCAACATTTTCAATTTTGCCGTGTTGGGCTATATTTAGGGATTCTGTTTTCTCTATTTTGCAGGGTCATATTATATGTGGTTTGTCATTGCATGTCTCGTATTGTACACCGTAGATTATGTTATATAACTTTCCATGTCATGTCTGTTGTATTTGTCAGTGTATTTGATTAGTCCTATATTTGCTCCCCTTTTCTTATATTTCATCCATTCATCCTTTTACTCATTTACACACTCATTCTTGTGATTATTCATTTTTTTTTCATTCATTCAATTTCATACATACATGTATGTATTAACTAAATTTATTCTATTTCCACCCAAGTACCGAAACGCATGCGCACTGATATTGAAGGTTTTTGATGGCGCGAGCAAGACTTTCCATTCTACGATAATGAATATTTCTGAGAGCGCAGCTCTGTATTTTTGCAGCCACACTCAAGTCCTGAATCTATTATGCAACATTCTTTCCATTTAGTTAGAGTGGACAGCGGCAACTGGCGCCCGACGGCTGACTTTAATGATATAAAACTCCGAGTCTAATTTCTCTGCACCCCATCAGAAATTCGAGGTTCAGAACTATTAAATATTTAGGGCAGATAGAGTGTAAGCGGCCGGATAACTCAGTCGATACTTCTGCGATACGGAATTCCGAGGGTCCCTTGTTCGAGTCAAGCTGCAGATTTATATCATTATATTCTCATATCTTTTTATTTTTTCTGTATCAGCAAATGTGTGTCCAACCCTTCAATGTTGACAATTTCTTTCTTGCTTTTATTTTCCGTTTTGACTGATGTTGAGCAGGAAAACCACAATATCCTTCCGCTCATTATTTCTGACATTGTGGCAAAGCAAGCAATAAAATTATTTGTGTTTCCCCTCCCGCGACCCATGCCAGTTTGGATAGGGTAGGTAGGTCGATAAAATATGTATATTTTTATCAAAACTATATGGAGTGCAAAAAAATTGTGAAAATTGATCTGTTTAAAAGATAAGAAACCCTTTTGCAGTTTTAATTCAACATATATCCCAGTTTGTTATTTTTTTACAATTAAAACATTGAGGCAAATATAAAAGTATTTGATTCTTATTGGACCTCTCTGCTTCCATGTTTATAATAGTAATAATACAATTTTGCTAGGCAATAAAATATTTTATGTAGCTGAGATTTGTATGGATAGGTAGCGGGGAGGGGAAAAAACAATAATTTGATTTTTATGTCCAAGATTCACTTTTATTCAATGCCACATTAATTGTTCCGACCAACTTATTCTGTGCTACACAGTGCATGGATACAACAAATAAGGGATTGAATGGTAATCAGGAAGTTATATATTAAAACTGATAACTTTACAGCCATAGGTAAACATTTTCTGCAAAATTTCTAAACGTACCCCTACATAATGATACAACTTAACTATGCATTTGATGTTCCTGTTCTATGCATCTTTTTCAGTATAAAATTATTCTCTATTAAAAAGTTCATGTCATCAATGAACTATGGTACACTATTTTGGTTATGTAATACATAAAAATAAACCCTAGCTGTTTACTTTCAACTCAAAGCGACCTTCAGTTTTCTAAGTAAGTTATTTTAGATACAATATCATTAAAATCATATCCTAACTGTCGCTCCACTACCCTTCGCTAGGTAGCGAAGAGTAACGGAGCGAAAACGATTAGATTGTTTTAGATAAAGCGTTTAATATACATAATTATTATAATTGTCAAATCAAAAGAACTACTATGTTCATCTTTCGGTAGAACACTTTTATTGCACAACATTTTTGAAATCTAGTCTATTTTGAATAAGTGAATGTATAAACTATGCTTGGGAAGCTGCATTCCCTATTACTTGTCAAATTAATTTGGTCTATTCTTATAAAAACTGCCAGTTTTTTAATGATACTATGTAATCATAGTTTGATTACCTTTAGTGTGTAGAGTTTAAAGCGTTACATATTTTTTATCTGTTTATAATAACGTTATATACCAAGATATGTTTAATTTCATGCCATAGCCTGTTCTCTTTTCATGCTTATCTTTTCCATGTATTTGTTTTAAGAATTAGATAATGGAAATTAAACCTTATGATTAATGTATATTATCATAAAACATATCTAGATATGCCCTAGATTTGTAAACAAAACTCTTCACTATCTGGATTCTACGGAAACGTATATCGACAACCCTTATATGATACATATCAAATGACTTTTTTTTTTTAGCTTTATAGTATGTTTGTTATATGTAAATATGCTTTGAGGAAAGAAATACATATTTAAAAAGATGTAAGTGTTTTATTTTTTCATTTTGTCAGAAAGTTAAAAGTAGTTTATCTTGCATTAGAAGATAAAAAAAAACATACGTTAGATTACGAACAAATACGTATTATATATGATTTACAAAATAACTTGATTCAATTGCTTCCTTTGTCAAATACAAATGTCTTGACTTTTCTCGTGTCACGCATCATATAAGACTATCCATTTATAGAAACGTACAAAAATGCGGTCAAAATCAAATGTTATGGTGATGAAGGGCACGATATTTTATATTTTTTCATAGGAAAAAAATCTCTTTCTTGCAAAATATATAATATGCAGTTAAAATGATAGTTTCCACCAATTTTGCTACTCATTGATTTAAAATTGGCGTGTACAGAAGATGTTACATCATAAAGATTAAGTAAAAAAGGCTTAACCAACCAGTTGCTAATAAAGATAATATATGCTGGTGATGGAGAGAAATCTTAATTAGGATAAAAAAAGACAACCGATCTGCCATATTTGCGCGCCTAATAGAGGAGTCACATTCCTTAATCTCTGAAATGCAGAAGCCTCATTCACATGCTGCATGTATAATCTTTAATAAAGCTTTGTAATGTGCAGGGTTTTTCTGTTCTCGTTATCAAATATAAATTGTAAAATATGTTATATTATATTTCATAATGATAGAGGTATGCGGAAACAAAACTCAAGTATTTATAACTAATACATATAAATGAACTGAAAAAATTCACATAAGTTTTAATCCAGCAATCTAAACAGCAGATTGAGTAAATGATATATATTCAAGATCAAATAACAATGTAAATATTGGTCAGATATATATCGTGTGTTCAATAAATTGTCTTAATTTCTGTTTTTACCAAAATGCAGGGGCGGTAGATATAACTAGATAAATATTTCAGATCAAGTAAGTTTGTAAAAATTGGTTAGGTATATGATATATATTAAATAAAATTGTCAAAAATCCTGTTTTAACTAACATGTAGGGGTGGTCGCTATACGTTTCCGTAGGATTCAATTACATTCATTTTAAAATGTGTATGTTTCAGAAAAGAAAGAAAGAAAGATTAGATAAGATTTAATTAAAGTATCTTCATAGTACATGCCGCGTGATTTAATAAGTGTAACTGTAAAAATAAAATTGCATTAAATCAAGGGGCATATTTTGAATGGAATATTCTACAAATAAAATGAGCTGTGTCACGACAAAACCAACACAATGGGTTTGCGACCAGCATGGATCCAGACCAGCCTGCGCATCCGCGCAGTTTGATCAGGATCCATGCTGTTCGCTATCAGTTTCTCTACTTGTAATCGGGTTTGTAAGCGAACAGCATGGATCCTGATCAGACTGTGCGGATCCATGCTGGTCGCAGACCCATTATGTTGGTTTTGTCGTGACACAGCTCATTTTATTACACGGTTCAAATGTTTATCATCTGTATCAATATGGGATACTATCTGTAACAATCAAGTATGAACATGATATAAGATATCTTAAAACTAAAATCAATGAAGATAATACAACAAAAATAATGTTTTATAAGATAATTTGCATACTTCATAAAAAATAATAATTTGAACACTTACCTAATTTTTATATCCTTTATAAATATATTTTCTTGTGTATAACTGTCACTTTTATTGGACACAACACACCGAAAAGACTTTCAGATGAAAATGCCGCTTTACAAAATATAAATTCCTCACTATTTAGTAGTGTCCTTAAAACAAAATGTTACACACTACACAAGGATGTTTAATGAAATGACATGTAATTACCGGAAATAACTCTTCATAACGTACGCGAAAGAATCTTAATTAAAACATTTTAACTGATAAAACATTTCTTATTTTGTAGATATTAAAACTGTATGAAGAAAGCGTTTTACAATTTTGTAATACTATCACATTGCTATTGCATAACATATACGATTTTGTTGTCAACCATGAAAAAGTTTACACTAAATTAATGATTTTATCATGAGACGATAATGCTAAGCTGGTTAAGAACACTTAATGTGTACAATCAAGACAAATCACTTATATCATTGAGTTAGTTATAAAGTATCATAGAATAATCACAACTTCGTCCTTAAAAGAATGGTTATGTTCAAAACCTGGTACAGTGATATTTACCGGCAGAAAATGATACTGACCGGAGTGATCATCTTCCAGTAAATATCACATTATATTCAATGCCTCAGTAGACCATTATTGTACATTATATAATCATATGAAAATCCTCTAATAAAATATAAATTTAGATGTGCTTACAAGTATTCAACATACTATTTTTAAATAATATTATTAATTTTGCAATTATTAGGAAAATGATCGTAAAGACTGATTAATGTTGTTTCTTTCTTTCAAAATGGTATTATTAAATCATGTCAATAAATAAATAAATCAATCAATCAATCAATCAATCAATCAATCAATCAATCAAACAATCAATGTAGACGAACACCTTCTTATGCACAAAATAATATCCTGACCGTCATAAGTTTACACGTTTCTTATAGGAAAACTCTCTTAATTGTATTTAATAGAGAATTGTTTTGAATAGACCATTTGCAGCTACAGATAAATAACGATCATTGCGTACAACATACATAACTTTAGTTCCTACTGGCAATTCATGTGAGATTTTGTCAGCTTTTCGCTCCCAGAGCTTATCATCAGTCCTCCAAATACTCCGGTGCTGCCATCTGATATGTCGTTACAGCTATTTATTTATCTTACAGACAACCATCCACTTATAAGTTGTTTTTAAGATAACGAAATCTTGACTCGTGCTGCATTATGACGTCTAAAAGCATTCTGTTGTTGGCAACATTTCCAATGTTTTATAAAACCACTCGACGCTACACGGAACTTCAACTTTTAGTTTATAGTAACATATTTAGTAAAACTGTAAGCTTATTATTAAAACACTATCGGATCTTTTCAAGCAAGACAGCCTTGAACACAACCTTTGTCACTTTAATTATAAATTATCAGCCATTTACTGGTGTACAAGATAGCATGGATATAACCATTGCAAACCTGTTCAAAGGCTAAGGCCTCTTCTTAATATTAATAAAGAGTGAAAAATCCTTGACAATTTTTTTAAGGGATTGATATGTGATCCTTATGTAACAATAATGCATTATAAAGCTTTGACGGGAATTTCAATTCATAATAGTTATTATGAGCATAACGGCACTTTTAGTCAACAGGAAAAGTAACATCTATATAATGACACGGATGAATGAGTTTTGTAAGCAATTTACTTTCACAAACTTTATTTCCTCTTTGATCAAATCAACTGAAAATAATGTTTTCTTGACGATTATTTCCTGTAATTCTATATTTTCCTGTAAATACATTTTAAAAGCGTTCTTAAATAGACGGGAAAATAGTTCTAGATGATTTAATAAACATTTTATACATTAAACATGATAAACCAATCCATGATTTTGCAGATTTTTTTTGTATACTACTGATACAGTGTTCTAGTCATATGGTGCTTTGACTAGGAGACAAAGAGACTTATATGGGATGAATACGTCCTACTTAAACTAAGTTAATTTTCTTAAACCTGTTTACAATTGCTTTTATAATAAACATACACTCACTGACCGACCGATGGACCGACCGAGTTACTGACTTTACATTTCTTTACCTTGCCTTGCCTTACGTTACGATAGTTTTCTGTACTGTACTGTACTTTACTGTACTTTTTACTTTACTTTACTTTACTTTACTTTACATCTGAACCATTATGATTACACATGATAGTTTAAATGGTTATCATCATAATTTTCATCATACACTGCACTTCAACTTCTTAGTATTAAGCTATTACAGTGATTGTTGACAATTAATACAGTCTAGAACAATAAGTGCAGCTGGCGTCAAGGATGCATTTCTTATTATTACGTAACTGCATAAATTTATTCAGTCATTATATCCTTTCTAATAAAGAATTACAGATAATGAATATAATAACTAGGTAACTTTTTTATTTGATAATAGGTAGAAATATAATCAAGTGTATCTTTATTTATTATAATCCTGATTTATTGGTAGAAAATATATCAAATTATAAAATATTAAAAGCAGTCCAGTTGCTTAACATTTCGAACACATTTAAAGATGAAATTTTTAAAGGTTTTTGCAGTTTGCAAAAAAACAAATTCGTCTTTTTAATTTCAACAAAAATATTGGGGAAATATCCTTCGAAGCATTTTTTAATCACAACAAAATTAATAAAATTGCGGTTCGGTTTTTTGAGTCTGTACAAAGGGGAAGTGAAAAAGGCAAATTTTCACGACCCTAGCACCTGCTTGAGCGGGTACTCATTAATTGTCAACGCTTAAATGGTGAGAAGGACCAGACTTGACAACTGCTGTATCTGACTTTGAAAGTAAGGATTTCAAAATGTTGTCTATGGTGCCAATTGTGAGAGACATAATAAAAACTGCATTTCGAAATGAAATATGTTCAGCTTCAATAAATCCGAGAAAAGTTTGGTTCTTTTCCCTCGAACCATTAAAGGTCCTGTTTATTCACTATGTAACAGGTATTGAAACGACGGGTTCAATACACGCATACCTTTCATCGGTTATTTTATATGCTTTTTGCAGCGTATTATTATATCATCAACACATCATAATATACAAAAATACCACACCACCACCACCACCAACAACAACAAAACTATTCAACAGGGGTATGGCAGACGTATCTGGTCTAAATTAAAGCTGCATAAATTACTTGGTATATTATTACAGCTGAATAGCAAAATAAAAATTTTCTTTTCGTAAAAGACATCCATTCACCCATTGAAACTAAAGTTTTCTAAAAAAATACTCGTATTTCATATTGCAAGTACGATACAAATTTCGACTTACATAACTTTACATAGTACATCAACATATAAATTTCAATTTCTTTAGAGATAGTAAATTGTAGACATTCTAAATCATACAAAAGTTAAAACCGTCTTTATCGTCTTTATATTTTCTTCAGCATACTTTAAAATGTGTAAATATTTCTGAATAAAACGTATTGTTTATTTACAGCAAAGTCTTTGAGTGCATGCCAGACTATTAACGTGTTTGAAATAATCCACCTGTGTTAAATGGGAGAAAAGAGCGGTTTAAAAGTATATTTTGTATCTGTGAAATAAGGAAGGGAAGGCAAGAAGTAGCATCGTATTGACATCTTTGAAGTTCTTTACATGTGCATTATTGCATTCAGAATGTTTGTAAGATATTTGCACCCTTTAAAAACAAGCCAATAATGACGATTCTTTTTTCAAACTTAATACAATATCCATGCATTTCCAGCTGCATCATTTAATTATGATATCATACGTTTAACAATTCTTTAATAATGATATAAAACTAGCTACTGTAAATTAATTTGTATATTCAGATATTGATTTCAACTACACACACGTTTTCCTTTTTTATTATCATTATAACCCACAAATGATCGTTTGCGAAACATTTAAGACCATGACTATAGTACTAAGCAAAAGAAAGCATTTTTAATATTTTTGTTGAGAACATATATTTTATTTGATTCTTTAATTGGCTCAATTCTAAAAAGTAAAGGGTAGCTCTTAAGAAAGAGAATATAAAAAGTGCATTTGCGTTTTTCAGAATGGGTTATCACGCGCCATTTGTTTACGGTTACAATGGGTCACCACCAAACCAACAGGTGTTTGTTATAATTTTGTAATATCTTTAATATTAAACATATACCATGTTCCAGGAAAATAGTTGCCGATACCAATGATATATAACTTTCCAATGTAGCTCTTTTACCATTCAAATTATGCTTGTAGTAATTTTTTCTACGGGCAATATTTTGATTGAAATATGCGGTTACACTGTGTCATAATTTCTGGAAGCATATGAGGAAAAGTACAATAGCTACATTGCATTGAAATTGGCAAATCTTTGCCTGGAACATGATATATCTTTAAATCAAATATGGAAAGATATAACAACATTATAACAAAATTAATACTTTTTAAGTAATGGACGTGGTCCAAAGTTACCGTAAACAAAAGTCACGGTATCATCCGCCCTGGTTTTTGGAAACATATTCTAAATTGTAAAACTGCCGCCATGCAATACGCTGTGTATGGGAAGGAAAATATTATAGAAATAATATACATTGAAAAAAAGTGTTTTTGGACTTTTCATAATTATACAATTACCTTAATTAACAATTTGTACGAGTTGGAAAATATGTAGCCATTTGATGTTGTAGACACCAATCTTTGAGCGCGCAACTTGTGACCAACATAAGATAAATTCATTGTTAATATTGGTTTAAATGCAATATATCACAGTACAGTCTTCTTATACAATTTAATATTGAGATATGGTTTGATAACAAGTTTTTGTCTTAAATCTTTCACGAGCAAACTCTAAGAAAACTTTTGGAAACTGTTTGTACCAAAATAAATGCAGATATGTAAAATATTACAATTTTAGTTTGATTGAATCTGTTGATAGATTGTTAAAGTAAAGCAAGCTTTCGTGCACGCACCCTAGCACCGCCTTCAGGAGATCCCAACATTTATTATTAAATAATAATTAAATCAATTGCAAAAAATGCTGTATACTTGGATATTGATATCTTATAGTCAACTGTGTTGATCCGACAGAATATAATTGAGGATTCTTTTTTAAAATATCCATCACAGATGTAACGGTATTCACCTGAGTGCAAATATTTTAGTATTTTCCCCTAGGGAAACAAAAAATAAGATATTTAAAGAAATATCTCCGCGAGTTCAGTGCACATAGTGACGCTAATCGTTCCCTCCCACTGATGCATTATAATCAAACGATTATGCAGGCTTTTGCATAAGATCTCATCCAGGTAATACTTTGTTCACCGCCTTTGATGATAAAAAATGTGCCTCGTCTTACTAAACATTTACTGCAATTTTGTCAATTCTATGTAACGTTTTGATTAAATTAT